CTTCCTATCAGCGCCTGTACTTTAGCAACTACATCCTTCCCAGAGGCTCAGGCTAAAACCTTGCTGTCATTCTTGATATCCGGCAGGTTTCTAACATCCCACTGACAATCCAGTAGCAAACCCTGCCAGCTCCACTTTAAACTGTGATGGCTCAGCCCACCGTCATCCTTCACCTGGGTAAAGACACTAACTCAGGACGTGACAGGCTTTCTGTGAGGAGCCAACCAGTACACAGCTCTGCAGTACACAGTCTCTGCTAGTTATTCACGTCGTCATGAAGCAGCCACTGACGGTTCGTAAATGAATAAAGAGGGCTGTTTTGCAATAAAACTTTGTGACTAGACAATTAAATTTTAGTTTCATGTAATTTTCACCTTTCATGAATTATCACTGCATTTGTGAATCCCCCGCACCTCACTGAAAGCATAAGAACCCATTCTTAGTTTGTGAACTATTTTTGGGTCACCGATTTAAATACCTATCTATTTACAGACTCCAATGAGAACTAGCCTTCTCCTAACCTTGTGCCCTTCACTGTGTTTTAACCATTGCAGGCAAAGTAATCCCAATAAAACATTAATCAGATAATGTCACTCTGCCTCTCCTCCAAGCCCTCCAATGGTTTCCCACACCTGAGACTGGAGGCGAAGACTCGAAACTAGTCACCAAGCCCCTGAACAATATTTCAGTAACCCCTTAGTGCAGCATGAATAACAGCCCGAGTTAACTACACGGAGGTTTAGACTTTGTGGTAGAAAAGGCAAAATTCACTCAAACTTTGTGACATACTACAGTTATCATGTGGCAAGAATAAAGGAAATGAAAAATCTGATGACTAAGCTAGGAAATGAGTAAATTAATTTAATATACAATTTCTATTATGAAATCACCATTAAAATAATTTGAAAAGTAATATAAAAAATTAGTTCATGAAGCTCTATAGTTATAACTTGTAAATATATCAGGTGAACACTGAGATTTTATAAAAAAAATTTCAGCCAAAAAATTTCAAAGTCCAGGGCCTTCCTGGTGGCACAAGGGGTTAAATCTCAGCACGATGAAGCTACTGACAGCCACTGCAGAAAGAGCTGATCCCAGGCCAGGGAGTGACCCCCAGGGCACAACAGAAGCTGTCTCCTCAACGTCCTTTCAGCAGTGGGTTTCAGTGGATCCACCTGGTCTGCTCTGCTCCTCGCTCTGTCTCACTTCCCCTTTCCTCACAGCTCTGGACTACACCCCAGTTCTTGTATGCATAAATAAAAACATAAATCTTAAAGATTTATAGATACAGAATTAGTAATTAAATAACCTATTTAAATAATATTTGTCTACTTAAAAACAATTCATAACAAAGGTCATATTAAAACAGTGTATTAGTAAAGCATGAATAGCTGTAAAGACAAAAATTTGTAGAAAAACAGGCAACAGTAACACTTTGTGATCAGGACTATTGGCAAAAAAAAAAAACAAAAATGATAAACATGTAGTGTCCTAACTACCTAGCAAACATTATTAAATACTCTGCATTGTAACACTAAGAATCGTGAAAACCAGTTTTTCTACCCAACTAACACATACTGAAGTGGTTATATTCAACCAGAAACCACAAATCCCTGCACTTCCAAGTAACACTCATTTATAAGGTACACTTAAAATAAGCTATCAATGTGTCAGACCTTGACACAAGGCAGTGTTTCTCCTTCTCTAACCTTTGTTTAAATTCTACCTTCATATTTTGTAAATTTCCACAAGTCAGCTTGAGAATTTCCTCGGTCACTTCAGGAGAAATTATTTCATTAGTTCATTTCCTTCGACTGCATCGTAATACCTCAATATTCTTTCTGCCATTTATAAGATAGAGCTTGTAGAGAAAATGTAACACACATGAAATTTTATAGTTCCATGAAATTATTCCAAACCCTTAATTTATCTCATTAACATTTTCTTTGTCTGACTTTAGATGTTTTCACAATTAGCTGTATACTTTGTTTAAAATTAAGTCTCTTCATCACGCAACAAAGAATTTCAGAGCAGACAACTCACATGCTCCTCTTTCAAAGAAGGTTCTCTTTCACTCTACGATGGGATTCACATTCACAAGTCAGTTTTCAAACACAATGAATTCTGTCTCCCAACAATCTATAAATTCAATTTACTTGATACTTTTAAGTATGAAGGAAAATATGTTTTTAAGCCTTTGTTTGTAGAATCATAATCAGAAAGCCCTAATAATGTTCAGTTCAAGTAAAATAAACACCATCCATGTTGTATCAACATATTTAATGAAATGGACAGGCAGAAGGAATGTTAGCATGAGGTACAAAATCAATCTGCAAGTTCAGAGAAAGAAATCAAGGAAATAATCCCACCCACAATTAACAACAAAAAGAATTAAATGCCTAGGAGTAAACCTAACGGAGGTGGTGAAGGGCCTAAATAATGTAAACTATAGGGCAATGTTAAAAGAAACATCCAAAAATTCAAAGCTACTCCCTGCTCATGGACTAGAAGAAGTGACAATGATGAGTGGCCATCTGACCAAAGCAGTACATAGATTCAGTGCACTCCCCAACACGCTGGCGATGGCATTTACTCAATTCATCTGGAACCAGCAATAGTCTAAATAGTCCAGACAACTGTGACAAAAGATGGGAGAGGTGGTGTCACACTCCAGATTTCAAAATATACCACAAAGGTTTAGTAATAATAGTGAATGGTACTAGACCAAAACCAGACACACAGACCAAGAGAAAAAAACGAAGAGTCCAGAAACAAATGCACACAGCCATGGATGGTTAGTTCGTGCCAAAGGAGCCGAGAGCACACACTGGGGAAAGAGAAATCTGTCACACACGGTACCAGGAAAACTGCAGCATGCATGCAAAAGAACAAACTAAATCATTACCTCATACCTTATACAAAAGTTCAAGAGACTGGAAATGTGGCTATAAGCCCCCAAACTGTAAAATACATTGAAGAAACAGGCAAAAAACACACCAAAGCATTGGCTTCAGAGTGGGCTTAGGGATTTTGTCTCCAAAGGCAAGAGAAACAAACGCTAACAGAAACAAATGAGATTACATCAAACCAAAAAGCTTCTGAGCAGCAGATCAACAAAAAGACCCTGCTGAGTAGGACAAAGCGCAGCGCACCATACCTCTGCCAGGGGTAAACTACATACGAGCACTTGCAACTCCACAAAGACGAAACAAACCCACTTAAGAACTGGGTAGTGTAACAGACACTCTCCCAAAGGTGACGCCCAGGGCCACGGGCACATGAAAAGTCGCTCATCATCACCTACCACCAGGGCCACGCAATTCAAAACCACGAGACACGACCTGACACCTGTGGGAACGGCCCATTTCAAAAAGACTAGCAACAACACATGTTAGCGAGGGTGTGAAGGAAAAGGAATGCTTGCGTACTACTTGGTGGGAGTGCAGACGGGTCGGGTCCAGCCTCTGTGGAAAACAGCATGGAGGTTTGCAATTACGGAAAACAGATCTGCCACTATGGCCGAAAATCACTCCTAAGTATCTGCCTGAAGATTTGTGCAAAAACACTCACTCAAAGGGAAACACGGAATCCTGTGTTCTCTGCAGCCCTATCTACGATGCCAAAGCTGCGGCAGCAACCTAAAAGCCCAAGACGGAAGGGCGGGTCTGGAAAGTGCCGCCCATGCTATACAAACATACACACACCCACAATGGAAGACTGGCGATGAACTCTTGCTGTTTCCCACAGCATGGATGAAACTGGAGAGAATGTCAAATAAGTCTGATTTCACGTATATGTGGAATATACAGAGAATCAGAAAAAACTAAGGCAGTACAAATAAACATAACTGGAGGGCAGTTAAAGAACTTTATAACATGCAATTTAAAGTACTTTTACTTCATAATTTGTAATTCTAAGAAAATTTTATTACTTTCAGAACTAGTAATTACTAATAATCCTAAACCTATTCCATGAGGTGTATTTGCTATCAATTGCTGTTTTCCTTTAAAATATAAATTGGGGAAATAAAATTTATAAGCTATCCTAACTAATTTACAGAATGATTAGAAAAATCTAACAGGTCAGTTTAATAATTAGGCATTGATCTTTTCGCTATACTAGGTAAACTCATTTACTTATTAGTATTATATGAGCTGAAAAGTTTTCTATTATACTCCACAATATGTCTTCATGCTAAGTAACTTGTGCCCAGTATACTTAGGAAACAATCCTTTTCTACTTTGCTTTCAATACCTCACAGTTATTTTCAAAAAGAGGGAAGATTACGTAGCTTAATAGTACACAGCTTTTAGATTGTATTAATAACCTGCTGCTTATATTCTTTTTAAGAACTCTTCTAGAGGGTTTACTTTGTCAGTGAAGTGGAAAGTTCTTATGATTTCTAAGTTATTTGTAGAACAGACTGTCTGAGGAGTAAGGAGCCCCAGATGAGACACTCTAACGTAAATGTCAGTAACTGTTAAGACTGCTATCCCACCGGGTTTGCTCCCCTCAATACTTCACTCAGAAAAATAAACAGGCTTTTCCCACTTAAGGATTGGAACAATATCTCTTATATAACTGGGAAATGAGGTATAAATTGTTTTTATAGTTTGTGGCCAAATAAAATTGCTAACGAACAGTAACCTACATTTTATTAACAAATACTTTTTAAAGATTTATTTATTTATGCCTACAAGAACTGGGGCACAGGCCAGAGATGTGGAAGGGGAGAGGATTCACCAGAGACAAGAGTGGGGAGCAGAACAGGCAGACTCACTTAAATACAATGCTGAGGGGAGCAGCAGGCAGGTCAGGAGAGATCCGCCATGTCAAGTGGGTCAGCTCCCTGGCCGGGAATCGAACCTGTGCTACAGGTGGCTGCAGATAGTTTCATAGTGCTGCGCTTTAACTCACTGGGCAATAACAAATATTATAATAATGTAAATAAATCTGAAGAAAGACAGCGACTACATCTCAAGACGGAAATGATTACTTACTGCAGGCACGAGTAATTTCTTCACTTCCTCAACAGCTCTCTTCAGCTTGATCTCGGCTCTGTTCTGAGCATCTTCCACAGTGATCAGGACATGTAAATCTTCATTGAGATGCTCCCAATTGGGCTTTCCTCTATTCTGTTCTTCCTAAATAAAAAAAAATTCAAAAAAAAAATTGGTAACGCACTTACAAATTTTTCTTTGCAAAGAAAAAACACATTTTTGATAATTTGAACCTATTGCCAATCGTCAGCAGTTTACATTATTTTGTTATGATGAGATTAAAGATCTTTTGAATTGTTTTCCTGACAAAAGGCCCAAGTGTAAGGCAACTGGGTCCTAAGATAGTTTCAACAAGTGTCTGCCAAGTGCCTGCCATGAACCAAGCAGAGAGCGAGACGCCAGGATGGAAGGTGAGCGAGGCAGTCACAATTCCCACACAGCTCTTAAGAGCCACCCCTAGGCTATCATAAAAAGCATGTTGTTATTCCTGTGCCTTATTTATAAGCAAATAGAAGGCCATTCTGGTTAATTCAAAGAAACTGCTTGTGAAGGTCACATAACAACTTGCAAATTTAGGAGCTGAATCAAAGTTGTTTTTTTTTTTTTAAAGTTTATTTAGTTACCCACACAAGAACTGGGGGGCTGGGGTACAGGCCAGAGGTGTATGTTAGGGGTTGAAAAGATTCACCAGAGAAAGTAGGTAACAGAACAGGCAGACTAAGTGAAATACACTGCTGAGGGGAGCAGCGGGCAAGACAAGAGAGGTCTGCTGAGCCCTGTAGGTCACCACCCCGCCCCAGCCAGGGATCGAACTGGTGCTGCAGTGGCTGTGAACAGCTTCATGGCCCTGACACTTAACCCCTTGAGCCAACAGGGAAGCCCTGAATCGAAGTTTTCATTCTCAAATACAGTGACTTATTTCATTCAACTACTTTTTTTTTTATTATTATCAATGGCTGAATTTAAGATTAAGAAAAGTATTTGGCAAAAAGATACTAATGTATAAGAGAAATGTCATTTGTCTTTAGAAGTGTTTCAAGGGCCCTCCCTGGTGGCACAACGGGTTAAATCACAGCACCGCAAGCTAGCCTCAGCTGCTTCACAGAGATTTTGACCCCCAACCAGGGAGTGACCCCCAGGGCGCAAGAGACCTTTCCTGTCTCCCCGCTGCCCCTTCAGCACCATATTTCAGTAGATCTGCCTGTTCAGCTCTCCATTCTGTCTCTGGTGAATCCTCTTCCCCCCCCACCATGCTTCTGGCCTGAACCCCAGTTCTATATGCACAGATAAATCTTTTTAAAAGTATATAAACGTGTTTCAAGTAACACTGTGGAACCTGTTCATTAAAGTAACAAGGAATGGTCTCCCTGGTGGCGCAGCGGGTTAAAGCACAGCACTGAGAATCTAAAGCCGCTTCCGCATGAATTCAATCCCCGCCTGCCCCGGAGGAGATCCACAGGACTCCGCAGACCTCTCCTGGCCCGCCCTCTGCTCCCCTCAGCAGTGTACTTCGTAGATCTGCCTGTTCTGCTCCCCACTCTGTCCCTGGTGAATTCTCTCACCCTCCGCATCTCTGGTCTGTACCCCAGTTTTGTATGAATAAAAAATCTTTTAAAAAAAAATAACAAGGAATGTATGTAGAACAGTTTTCACCATATTTAAAATAAAAAGCGTAAGCTCTCTTGAACTGCACCAGCTGATAAGTTAAACAGAGAATTTTAAAGCAGTTTCTTGCTTTAAGTTTTAGAGATAGTATGTGAGTAAATTAGCAATTTGTAATAGTAAATTATAAATATTTTTGACTATTGGAGAATAAGAATATGCATCTGTGGCTGCACGACTGGTCGCAAGCGCACCTGGCGAGGTGAGGCGCCACATTTAAAGACAAAACAGCTGCCGCAGCCACACTCTGGTCTTCAGGGTCACTAGTTGCTGATTTGTGAGATTCCAATAGAAAAAAACTGACAGAATGGATACAACTATTACAATAAAACAGCTATCTACAACTCACAAGTCCGCCAAAGTCACGCACTAAGCCACGAGGAGAGAGGTCGTAGCAGTCGACTACATGCTTGCGTCTTTCTTCCCGCCAACACCATGTAGGCATGAAGACGCACCCAAGCACTGGGAGGGGAATCAGAATTCAGGCAAAGCAGGCCTTTTTAGGAGGGGACATTTAACTTGTTCCCAAAGAGCAGGCCACCACAGCGAGATCACAGAGGGACTACGGGGCAGCTGAAGTTTCAAGGGAAAGAAATAGTCAATGTTTCTCAGACACCACGCAAACTCGTAGCTCAGAATACTTGACTTTTCAACAGCAGGACCTTATTTGATGGTGTCTTATCTTTGCAATGCTAGGTTTCAGCATCTACAAGAAAAAGCAATCCACAACTTCAATACAAGTCCACTTCCAAAGCAGAAGTGGCCATCCCCAATCTGCTGCCAGAATCAGAACTCCAGTGGGGCCTGACACCCATGAATAAATGACAACAAAAGCAATTCAAGTTGCTGTGCTGCTACACATGCTGATTAAGCTTCCTGCATTTAATCTTTAAAAATTACTTATCTTTCCACCACAAAAAAATTGCCAAAGTGTCACTGAGTCAGGAATGGAAAAACCTGGGGTTTCAGTTTGCCAAAGGACAGCAAACACACACACACACACACACACACACACACATGTGTGTGTGTTGTGTGTGCATGTGTGTACTGTGGCCAGGGAAGTCATTTAATTTTTTATGTCAAAAAATGACATTTCCTCACCAAAACTCGCAGCTTCATCCACATCTTTGTAACCAATCTCCTAGGTTGCACACATTACTGAAAGTGCAGCTAAATCTATTGCAGTACGGAGCGCAGCTCTGGACAGCATGTCACGAACAAGACCCCTTCCTGCATGAAAGAGCCTGGGCAGAGTGAGCAAGTGCTCACCCCTAAACCCAGGCAACACGGCCATGAACTCTGGTGAGCCCAGGATCACCTCACCTCTCTACCGCCAAGTTTTCTGCCTGCAGGAGATGTGACAGGCTGACTGCTTGAGGTGACACTAAGCTCAGTCCCCAGGCCAAAGCAGCTGGAGCTGGGGGGGGTGTGGAACGGCACTCGGCACTCGAAAGATGAGCAGAGATCACACAAAGCCCACGGACATCCGGAGGAAGACCGATCACGCATGCTTTGGAGGGAATGCCAGAGGGGAGAAACAGCCACCCACGGGACCCGAGGTAAAGTACCAAGCTGGCAGGGAGCCAGGCAAGAGACTGCCCAGACGGCAGCAACCCTAGAGCCCCAGCCGCTGTGGGAAGCATCAGCCCTAGTCCGATCCGGCTCAGCACCGCTGCCTCACTTGAAATCATGACAGGAAGGCTGAGCTGTTTCCAGCTCATTTAAGTGCATCTCAGAACAAGATCAGGAAGACTACAGGAAAACAAAACAGTCACTGAACAAGGCAACATCTACACTACCTGCACCTCACTCGAAACTGGTAAGGGTGCCAAGAGAACAGGGTCAGTCCACCGAAGCTAACCTGACACATGCTTACAGAGAGACTAACACATGGGGAGCCAGGGACATGTACAGTTTCTTTAGAAAGACTGAAGGAAAAAGCCAAATTCCTAAATGATTTGATCAAAAAAAGTGTGTGGGGATGACAAAAGCCAGAGGACTGGAAAGGGGGCTGCTGCCTGCATGCTGGAACTCGCTGCAGAATGTGACACGGGGCTTGACTGAGGGATACAGTTTTGAGGTGGGTAACACCTTGGAGAAAATATATTTTTAATTCAACAACTGACGTGTCCGTTACAAAATAAAGTCACACCAGTCTTAACATTTACTTCAGAATGGTCTGTGTACAGGTTTAAAACCGGTTGAAAAGACGAGAATGAAAGAAGCCTGAATTTAATGTAAGCATGCATTTTCAGTCCTTCCTGAAAGAGTTTAAAATGGACAAGCCTTGAGGAAGACAAAGACAGGAAAGAAGTCAGAAAGCAGCTGGCTAAGTCGCCAGGAACGTAGACAGCCCAGGCTGCAGCCTCCCCAGAAGGGCCCAGGAGACCAGCAGCTGAGGCAGTGGGCACAGGTGGGGCGTCCTCTACTGCAGGCAACTGTCACCAGAAAACAGCGGGGGCCCCACTTTGCCCCGGCCCCAGGAGCCAGGTCCAGCACTCCCTAATTCACTGGAGAAGTCCAGAGCCTTGTCCCAGAGAGCGCCTCTCCTGGGCCAGGGCACTGGGGGAATGCTCCGCACTGAGGCCCAGGTGCCAGCCTCCTCCGGCCCCCACCAGAGCAGGCTCGGCCAGCTGACACCCCATGGCCAGAGGGTCAGAGCAGCCAGGCAAACACAAACAATCCTTGAGAAGAAGAACTCAAAACTCATCAGAAAACTAAGGAAGCTTCTGCTAGAGAAGAAAGCTATTCAAGAATGCGAAACACAGGAGGACCTCTCAGACCAAACTGTGATGACAGAGATGAGAAGTTGAGCTGGGTGGAAGTTAAAAATGGGGGCACGCGCCCTCCCAGTAGCACGACAACAGAGAAGGGAGATGGCAGAGGTGGCGGGAGCATGAGAGGGCTAATCCAACAGGCTCAGCGCCTGAAGGACAGACGTCTGCCTCCCCCCAAAAAGAAAAAGAAGCAGGAAAAAAATCACCAACACACACGTTTAAAATGAAACCACATAAGCTCTCACCACAACGAAAGCACCAGGTGAAAACAAATCAGCTGGCAGCAAGGCGGGCCCAGGCCCACAGCAGAGAGCAGCAGCCGGCAGCCCGCAGGGTGGGGGCCCCGGGCGGCCTGCGATGTGCACTCACGGGCTCCAGTGCTCGGCCTTTAGCCTACCGGTCTACCACACTGGGCTGGAAAAGACGCTAGGTCATTCTGCCCAGAGCCACACTCGTCCGTCCGCCGGAACTGAGGTGAGTCAATGGCTCCGAGAGTGCGCTTTCAGGCCGGGAGTGACTACAAATGTGGCTCTGTTTCACCTGTTCCTTTAACAGATAAGCGCTACAGAAAAGTCAAGACACTACCCCAATTACCTGCATGAGCAATCTCCTCTCCAATTTTTCACTTAATTTGGAACAGAGGTGGAAACGAAGAGAGAAACTGTGTCGAGGGTGCTTGTGTTTCTCCTGTGCACCGCCACTTCT